GCAACATCACCTTGACCATGCACATGGGGCACTTTTTGCCTGTTTGTGAGCTTGTCAATGCCCAGTACCAGGCAGGGCTTGCATTCATGTGAAATAAACAGTATGGTGGTACCCCGACTTAGAGATGTACCGTACACTGTGCAGTAGTTAAATGTGAAGTGTGCTGTTCCTCTGGCACTACATACCTTATCTGTGAGTTGTTGCATTTAAGTGGGAGCCTATGCCATCTCCACTCATCCAGCGTACCTCTGGCACCTCTCTCCCAGCGACAGAATGGTGTCCCACCATGAAATTAGCACGGACCTTATGCATGCATTCAGTAACTCCTGCTCTACCGAAACCATGCAACCAGGCTGTGGTTCTCCGTTACATAGATTGATCAGAAACTTTTTGGGGAACCGTTCACTGGGGAACTAGTCAGAGCACCGACTCCCATGTTACTGGAGGACCCATTGCCACGCCAGGTACCATGCTTCATGACAAGCTGCTACACATTTTACACCAGTCTTCATTACCTGTGGCAACTCCTCCTGCTGAGTTAACTCTTTGTATCAGACTCGCTTCATACCCTGCATGTGCTTTACAGACCCTGTTCTTTCATACTCCAAGAACCATTATGCAGCCTTCAGAGAAACTTCAGACCAGGCTTTAAAACAGTTTAACAAAATTTACTGTAACTTTTTATGGAACAATGACAAGCGTAACATAGTTCAGGCCCTAAATAAATAACAGAGCTGGCTGCCTAGGCATACCTTAACAGGTGTTAGTCCATGATTGTCGATCTCCAATGGCTGGTAGTATCCTCTGGACTTTCTGGTATCTTGTGGGACTACATGCTGGCTCTCGAATTTCCCAACCCCAGACTTTCCCGAGGACTCTCTCCCTGGGTGATTGCTGGTTGTAAAGGGTTACATCTTCTTCTTTGAGCCTCTTTCTTCTATTTATATGTGGCCAATGTTATATCAGAGCCCTCCCCAATTTTGTATGAGCACAGCGAGGGGGGCAGAGCCCAGCAAAGCCTAGCCTAGGAAACAGCAGAGCTTGCATTAACCTTTCCCTAACAAGGGCAGACTAGCTAATGCACTAACATGAAAAATTCCCCTTGTAGGCACCTGCCTACACGAGTGTAAATGGACTTGTGTTCATTTACACCCACCTACCTCTGGTTCCTATTTAGTCCGCTTAAAAAAAAAAGAAGGAGATCCGGCCTCTTCTGTTTAGGTGGAGCAAATCAGAGGGTAGACTGGAGTAAATGGACAACTGAGTCAGTTTACTCTTGGCCTCCTATACAGCAGAGCAGGCTCTGTCTTTGTACTCTCTGCATAAACTGAACAGACACAAATATGTCATCCGCCCTTTCTGCTCCAAACAGCAGGGGATTTGTGAGCTGATCCCCTGAAGATTGGAACAGAATCCACTCTGTGTGAAAAGGGCCTAAGTTCTACTTTAATATTAAGAGTTCCATTAAAGTGGACCTGAACTCACAAAGTGAACATTTACTATCTGGTAGAGAATATATAACATGTTAATTAGAGATGAGCGAATCGAACCTGGCGAAGTGGAATTCGTTTCGAATTTCAGGAAAAATTCGATTCGCATTGAATCCGAATCTTAGCAAACTTCGGGTGCACAAATCGAATTTTTCCCGATCAGCCGGCAAAAGTGTCACTGCAGAGAGCTCCGCTATTTCTGACAGTTCTGACAGTTCATTTACAGCAGTTGAAACATTGTATCTATTTGTTTCCATTTAGGATACAGATGTTTTTATTCGGAAATAAATAGATACAATGTTTCAACCACTGTAAATGTGAAGGAACTGTCAGAGAACTGTCAGAAATAGCGGAGCTCTCTGCAGATACACTTTTTGCTGTACTGTAATACTTCTTCTTTTCATTCTTCTTCTTCTTTTCATTCTTCTTCTTCTTTTCATTCTTCTTTTCATTCTTCTTCTTCTTCTTTTCATTCTTCTTCTTCTTCTTTTCATTCTTCTTTTCATTCTTCTTCTTCTTCTTTTCATTCTTCTTCTTCTTCTTTTCATTCTTCTTTTCATTCTTCTTCTTCTTTTCATTCTTCTTCTTCTTTTCATTCTTCTTTTCATTCTTCTTCTTTTCATTCTTCTTCTTCTTCTTTTTCATTCTTCTTCTTCTTCTTTTCATTCTTCTTTTCATTCTTCTCATTCTTCTTTTCATTCTTCTCATTCTTCTTTTCATTCTTCTTTCTTCTTCTTCTTTTCATTCTTCTTTTCATTCTTCTTCTTCTTCTTTTCATTCTTCTTTTCATTCCTCTTCTTCTTCTTTTCATTCTTCTTCTTTTCATTCTTCTTTTCATTCTTCTTCTTCTTCTTTTCATTCTTCTTCTTCTTCTTTTCATTCTTCTTTTCATTCTTCTTCTTTTCATTCTTCTTCTTCTTCTTTTCATTCTTCTTTTCATTCTTCTCATTCTTCTTTTCATTCTTCTTTTCATTCTTCTCATTCTTCTTCTTCTTTTCATTCTTCTTCTTCTTCTTTTCATTCTTCTTTTCATTCTTTCTTTTCATTCTTCTTCTCATTCTTCTTTTCATTCTTCTTCTTCTTCTTTTCATTCTTCTTCTTCTTCTTCTTTTCATTCTTCTTCTTTTCATTCTTCTTCTTCTTCTTTTCATTCTTCTTTTCATTCTTCTTCTTCTTCTTTTCATTCTTCTTCTTTTCATTCTTCTTCTTCTTCTTTTCATTCTTCTTCTTCTTTTCATTCTTCTTCTTCTTCTTTTCATTCTTCTTTTCATTCTTCTTCTTTTCATTCTTCTTCTTCTTCTTTTCATTCTTCTTCTTCTTTTCATTCCTCTTCTTCTTCTTTTCATTCTTCTTCTTCTTCTTTTCATTCTTCTTTTCATTCTTCTTCTTCTTTTCATTCTTCTTCTTCTTTTCATTCTTCTTCTTTCTTCTTCTTCTTCTTCGTCGTGCCCCGTGACTGCCCAAATGAGTGAAGTGTGCGGTGATTCTAAGATCGACGGCACTCATCTGCATGTCATACTGACTGACAGTATTATTTCTCTTCCCCATCAGACTCCAAGGGCATTTAAATTAAAGGTACAGTGTTCTGCACTAATATAAAGGCTCTCTGAAGCCTAGAAACCCTTTAAATAAGTTAAATTCTCGGCGAATAAATTTGCATCGAATCAAATTTCTCCCGCAAATTCGGCGAATCAGCCGAATCGAATTTTTGAATAATTCGCTCATCTCTAATGTTAATTATACCTAAGCAGTAGCCTACATAAAATTACTTTTTGTCAATAATTACTACTGAAAAATAGCAGTATGCCTCCTGTGCCTTGGGCAGCACAGCTATAAATCTGCAGTGTGAGATCATTTAAGGCCCTGCTAGTGTTGACTGCTGGTCCTATGAGATTTGAGACAAGATTTGATGATGCCACTACTGCGCTGCTCACTGTTCTCCTTGCTGGAGAGAAAGTTGTACCTGAAGACCAGCAATGCATGAATATCCCTGCTTCTGGTTTTATACTTTCTATGGATCTGTTCTGCCTTTACCTCTCCTGGTATTTCTTGATTATCCCACTAGTCATCAGATTGCCAGTCATCAAAGAGGCAGCTCTGAAATGAGGGCACAAAGCCCTCTTCTACCAAGCTCCACTTTAAGCAGAAAGTGGTACAAAAGCCTTGCAGAGTCCACTGGCTATTTTGGAATAATCTGAGCTCTGTGTTGTTTCCTGAGATAATGTATTGATGGAGTATTTTGTGATGACTTAAAACACCAACTCAGAAATGTCCAATAATGGTCAGTTGCTTGTCAGAATGTCCCATTAGAAAGTAATCTGTATCTAAGGATCGCTAAGTGCATTTTCATTTAAATAACAGAACATGTATGGAGGTCAGCAGAAAACCTTACCTCACTAGTGAGAATGATACAAGACATAAGGCTGTTCCTGTGACCATTATCCTGGTCATAAAGTTTTTTCAGCAAAAGATTATTCTATATACGCAAATGATTTCCTATACCAAGAATATCATACTATTATAAAAACACTCATACAGTAAAGCCAGATAAAACAAAACAATGTTTCTAGGTATTACCATGCTACATGACTTCAGAAAGTCAGTATTTCTGTAGTGACTATGCTAAGCTGCAGCGGTACAGTCAGCATTTAAAGTTACCCTCTGATACCTTATTGTGCCCATTACCCTAGGGCAGTGGTTCTCAACCTTCCTAATGCCGCGACCCTTTAATACAGTTCCTCATGTTGTGGTGACCCCCAACCATAAAATTATTTTCGTTGCTACTTCATAACTGTAATTTTGCAGTGGGAGGAGTAGTGCCACCTCATTGGTGTCAGTGAGAGGAGTAGTGCCACATCATTGGTGTCAGTGAGAGGAGTAGTGCCACATCACTGATGTCAGTGGGAGCAATAGTGTCCCATCATTGGTATCAGTGGGAGGAATAGTGCCCCATCATTGGTGTCAGTGGGAGGAGTAGTGCCACATCATTGGTGTCAGTGAGAGGAGTAGTGCCACATCATTGGTGTCAGTGAGAGGAGTAGTGCCACATCACTGATGTCAGTGGGAGGAATAGTGTCCCATCATTGGTATCAGTGGGAGGAATAGTGCCACATTGTTGGTGTCAGTGGGAGGAATAGTGCCCCATCATGGTGTCAGTGTGGGAGGAATAGTGCCCCATCATTGGTATCAGTGGGGGGGGGGGGGAAATAGTGACCCATCATTGATACTAGTGTGGGGGGGAATTGTGCCCCATCATTGGTGCCAGTGGGAGGAATAGTGCCCCATCATTGGTATTAGTGACACCAATGATGGGGCACTATTCCTCCTACTGACACCAATGATACTTACCTTGCTGACCCCTGCTCCAGCCTGTGCTCGCTCCCTCCCTCTCCCATCTACAGCCAGCATACCTGGCTGCAGCAGCACCATCTACTTGCTACAGACACTTACCTGTCAGCTGTCTTCCTTCTCCGGCCGCTCCCTCGCTCTATCTTCTTTGATCTTCGCGCTGCTGCTCGGCTCCTCCTCCTCGCCGGTGATTGGCCGCCTGTGTGCCTCTCCTGAGCTACAGTTACGGCGGCCAATCACTGGCGAGGAGGCGGAGCTGTTGAGTGATCCCGGGGATGTGGCCAGATGACAGGGGCGAGATGTCATCCCGCGCACACATCACATCCAGGATAATGTGGACGTATCTGCATGTGGGCGGACCCGCCTGTAGACTGATAGAGGAGCGGTGTTTCGGTTCCTAAGACCATCGGAAATATGTGTTTTCTGATGGTCTTAGGAGACCTCTGTGAAAGGATTGTTTGACCCCCAAAGGAGTCGCGACCCACAGGTTGAGAACCGCTGCCCTAGGGGGACTATATTTATCATCATTAGTAGGAATAAATGAAGTGATTTCAGCAAAACTGATTTTGTTTACAAAATTAAAGATTTTACCTTAGGCAAAGCTTTGATAAAGTGTGTAGGCAGGTGCAGCCTCTTTTCACCACTGCAGGTGGCGCTCATACAGCTGTGGCATTGAAGAGGGAGAGGAAGTCAGGAGGAACTTATTCCTCTATTGTTTCCTGGGTCACTAGGAAGCGATCCGGTTGGATGTTGCTGTCCTATGGTGGTCATCTTTAGTGAGGGCAGAGCTTACAAAAAACTCTGGCAGTTGCCGGAAATTTGCAAGTGTAGAGTGTAGGGACAGAGCACCCATCTGTCAGTGAAAGTGACTAGCGGTAAGGGTAGGTTCCGGACGCGTAGGGACAAGCTAGGGACACGCCATCTTGTATCGGAATCCTCCCCATTTGGCTCAGACTGGCCAGGCCATATTCCGCTCTCGGAGACAGACACTGTCGGTGCAGCAGAACCTGATCCACTCTACAAGTTGCACAGAGCTGTGAGTGTTTCCCAGCCTGGTGCCTTCCTGCTGGGCTGTTTGTATATTTGAGCCATTTCTTCAATACAAGTTTTGTTATTTGCAAGCGAGTGTTTGCTGCCGCTGCACCACGCTGCACCTAACCACAAGTGGAAACTCTTAAGTTAGGCTCATTGACCTACCACGATGAAAGTTGGATGAAAAATGTTTTTACTTTTTTCTATTAAGGGTCCATTCACACCAGGATAGCAGCTGCAGGACATTTAATGCCACACACTTCCACATGTTGTTTACCTTGGACAGAATGTGACTTCACAAGGAATGTCACAGCACTTCTTCTGAGTATGGAGGCTCTGAAAGAGCTGTTGCTGTTCTTTGTAGCATTTCTGTACAGCAATAGATCATTGCTATAGTGATCTATTGCTGGGTGTGACTGGATCCTGACACCCCATGATAAAACAAGGGCAAAAAAAAAAAATAATTTAAATTATATAGGGCTTTTTTTCTCAAAAATAGGTGTAGGAACTCCCTCCTTCTGAGTCACCTCTTGTCTCTGTCCCCCTATCCACCTCTGAGCACCTTTACTTGCTTCCACCTCCCAGTACCACTCATTTTAGAGTATACAGAACCAAGTATCATTTTGTGGTGCTAAATAATTTGTATGGAATTTGTCAATGACAACAAGAAAAGCAGACAAATAGATCCCCCGCAGCCAGCAGCATTAGACCTCTCCCCCAGCAAATATAGATTTATCCAGGAACAATGGACCCCAAAACAAAATATCACCCTAGAAACAATAGATCCCCAGCAGTTACAACAGGTCTCCCAGCAGCCAGCACCAATAGACTCTCCAGCAGGCAACAACAATAGACAACAGACCCTTCCCTTAACAGTAGATCCTTTCCAGCAACAAGTGTCCCCCATCAACAATAGATCCCACACCAGAAACAACAGACCTTCCCTGCAACAATAGATCACCATACAAAATTAGATCCCCTTCAGTGACCATAGATCCCGCAGCAGCCAGCCAGAAACAGCAGATTCTCCAGCGCACCCCAGCCGTGTTCCTGCTGAAAAAAAGCCCTGTATATGTGTATATACACTATATTGCCAAAAGTATTGGGACACCACTCCAAATCATTGGATTCAGGTGTTCCGATCCCCTCCATGGCCACAGGTGTATAAAAAATCATCACCTAGGCATGCAGACTGCTTCTACAAACATTCATGAAAGAATGAGTCTCTCTCAGGAGCTCAGTGAATTCAAGCGTGGTACCGTGAGAGGTTGTCACCTGTGAAATAAGTCCATCCATGACATTTCCTTGTTACTAAATATTCCACGGTCAGCTGTTAGTGGTATTATAACAAAGTGGAAGCAACTGGGAACAACAGCAACTCATCCACCAAGTGGCAGGTCACGTCACATGACAGAGAAGGGTCAGCACATGCTGAAGCGCACTGTGCGTAGAAGTTGCAAACTGTCTGCAGAGTCAATAGCTAAAGACCTCCAAACTTGGTGTGGCCTTCAGATTAGCACAACAACAGTGCATAGAGAGCTTCATGGAATGGGTTTCCATGGCCGAGCAGCTACATCCAAGCCTTACATCACCAAGTGCAATGCAAAGCATCAGATGCAGTGGTGTAAAGCACGTCGCCACTGGACTCTAGAGCAGTGGAGACGTGTTCTCTGGAGTGACCAATCATGCTTCTCTGTCTGACAATCCGATGGATGTGTCTGGGTTTTGACGGTTGCCAGGAGAATGGTACTTATATATGCAGAGGGTGCAGTGCTGGGGGATCATAAATAATGCATAAAACAAACATCAATGAATAAAGTGCTGGAATGCTTAAAAACAGTGTCTCAATGTGCACAAGTAATGTAGTATATAGCATACTATGGTGCAAAATACAATAAAGTGCAACAGATATAGTCCACACATAGGTCACTGTGTCGTGACTAATTGATAATGGTTGTGAGTGCCCAGTCCACAATATCCCAGTGGGTTGAGTGCTGAGAGAATTGCAGAGATCTCTATAGTAAATTCAAAAGGTGGTGACATCCAAACCAATAATAGACTGCACACTCACCAGATGCACAATCGATATGCGCATTTAAGAGACAACCCCTCTTATATATATTTTATTTGAGGTTGTTTGGTACCTTTTGGTGTACAGCGGCTATACCGACTTTTAGCGCTCACTTACCCATTACCTGAGGAGAATGGTACTTGCCTGACTGCATTGTGCCAAATGTAAGGTTTGGTGGAGGGGTGATTATGGTGTGGGGCTGCCTTCCAGGGGTTGGGCCTGGCCCCTTAGTTCCAGTGAAGGGAACTTTTAAGGCGTCAGCATACCAAGACATTTTGGACACTTTGATGCTCCAAACTTTGTGGGAACAGTTTGGGGATGGCTCCTTCCTGTTCCAACATGACTGCACACCAGTGCACAAAGCAAGGTCTATAAAGACATGGATGAGCGAGTTTGGGGTGGAGGAACTTGACTGACCTGCATAGAGTCCTGACCCGATAGAACACCTTTGAGATGAATTAGAGCAGAAACTGTGACCCAGGCCTTCTCGCCCGACATCAGTGCCTGATCTCACAAATGTGCTTTTGGAAGAATGATCAAACCTTCCCATAGACACTCCTAAACCTTGTGGACGGCCTTCCTAGAAGAGTTGAATCTGTTATATCTGCAAAGGGCGGGGCCAACTCCATATTGCACCCTACAGACTAAGACTGGGATGCCATTAAAGTTCATGTTTGTGTAAAGGTATAAAATAGTTTTGGCAAAATAGTGTATATATATATATATATATATATATGTTTGTGTGTCTGATCCTTTGGGGATTTGGGGTTTCCACCTGAACCTAGGGTCTCCTTTTGACTTCCCCCATTTATCAGAGGGATATTACTCTTACAGAATGCGGATGTTTGAAGACCTTTTATGGAGGTGGTCCCTTTTAATCAGCAGCTTTATCCTGGTGTTCTTTGCAGGGACAGCTTTGGTGTAAATCCACTAGATCAGTGGTCGGCAAGCCGCGGTTCTTTACACGCTTTAATGCGGCTTTTGTGTGCCGGGCGCCTGCTCCCCTCCCTCCTCTCGGGCGGCAGGGACTCTGCAGCGTGATCCAAAAAAAAAAAAACAGCCAGGGCAGCGCGCTCAAATGCAATGATTGGCCAGTCTCGCTGCCACTCACATCCTGATAGCCAGTGATTGGCTGTCAGGATGTGTGTAGGCGGGGCAGCGTGACGAACGTGAGAGGAGCTAGGCTCCTCTCACAGTCCGCCCTGAAGACCGGAACGGCGCGCGAACACGGCCAGAGGAACGTGCGGAGCAAAGGTAAGTGAATTGACACAGGGGGGACTTGGCTTACTACTTGCTACTTACTTACTACTACTATATGAGGGATGAATTAATATGGGGGATGAATTACTATAGGGGAGATGAATTACTATATGGGGGGATGAATTACTATGGGGGATGAATTACTATATGGGGGATGAATTACTATATGGGGGATGAATTACTATAGGGGGGATGAATTACTATGGGGGATGAATTACTATAGGGGGGATGAATTACTATGGGGGATGAATTACTATATGGGGGATGAATTACTATGGGGGATGAATTACTATATGGGGGATGAATTACTATATGGGGATGAATTACTATGGGGGATGAATTACTATATGGGGATGAATTACTATAGGGGGGATGAATTACTATATGGGGGATGAATTACTATAGGGGGGATGAATTACTATAGAGGAGATGAATTACTATATGGGGGATGAATTACTATGGGGGATGAATTACTATATGGGGGATGAATTACTATATGGGGGATGAATTACTATAGGGGGGATGAATTACTATGGGGGATGAATTACTATAGGGGGGATGAATTACTATGGGGGATGAATTACTATATGGGGGATGAATTACTATGGGGGATGAATTACTATATGGGGGATGAATTACTATATGGAGGATGAATTACTGTGGGGGATGAATTACTATATGGGGGATGAATTACTATATGGGGGATGAATTACTATAGGGGGGATGAATTACTATATGGGGGATGAATTACTATATGGGGGATGAATTACTATATGGGGGATGAATTACTATGGGGGATGAATTACTATATGGGGGATGAATTACTATGGGGGATGAATTACTATATGGGGGATGAATTACTATGGGGGATGAATTACTATATGGGGGATGAATTACTATGGGGGATGAATTACTATATGGGGGATGAATTACTATGGGGGATGAATTACTATGGGGGATGAATTACTATAGGGGGG